TATTTCTTTCCTTGCGAAAGTTTTTGTCCGTTTTTATCACACCGCCATGCCGGTCGCATTGTGCGAGGTCAGGTTTTACAGTGGACCAGTTTCCAGTGCCGTGCAGAAGTATACTTTTAAATCATTTTCGAACTGCCCTTTTTGATTTTTTCTTTACAAAATTGTATTTGTAAGGGTCCCCTGTACATCCAGAATTTTTTTTGGGTAAGTTCTGAATCACCCTGTATATGTATTTTCACCAAATTTTTTATTTACGTTGCCCTTATATAAATAAATAAGTGCACCAAATTAGAAGTTTCTAAGAAAAATAGTTTTCAAATTATTTGAAAAAAACTATTTGAATATAGGTAAGTTAAGCTAAATAGTCTTAATTTCATCCAAGGAACCTGTGGTCAAGCGTTGTCCATCCTTTTCAGGGACACCCTGTACAATATAAATAATTACAAAGGCTCACGAAAAAGTGACCTGCTCTTTTAATCAAACGCTGTTATTTTTATATTTTTAAACCCACTTAACATAAATTTCAAGTCAGGAATTTGGAGAAAATGTTCCCCAAATACTCAAACATGTGTTATTTTCAAAAATGCTCGAACATTTTAATGTTGTGGAAACTTCCATATTTTTATTTTTGGATCCTCTGAATACGAATCTGGAAACGAGAAGGAATACGACTATGGAGAAGATGACAGTGAAATGGACACTACCACTGTCACTATCTTTATAAATATCAGTATGAAGACTAAAATGTTTGAAGGTATAAACCAACTACTCTTTACCAATCTACCATGTCGCATTTATGGGTATATGGGTCCGCTTAGTGGCTACTTAATTATCACTTGAAAGATGTTTGTAACCCTCGAAGTAAATGTTACGGATACAAATTTCCAGAATCGGTAATGTTAAACTGAAAGAGGGTATACGAGTATTTGGCAGACCCCAATTTTATAAAATGTTGAATGATGAAGATTTAGCATAAAAAATGAATAAATCTGATGAAACTGAATGACATTGCTTTAAAAATGGAGCCGAAAACTTTTTGGGTAATGACCAAGGTCACAATTATAAAACTCCAATAGTGGACAATTTTAGGGAAATTGAATTGCAGGGATTACTACTGAGAAGAGCAAAGTGAACGGTTTCAAAATTTATCAAAATAAATCAAAATTTAAAGGAAATGGTTAAAGGTATCAGGATAAGTAGGAAGTGAATACCGAATACGCTGGAGGACTACTATTGGATGTTGAAAAAGGAATGCAAGATTAAAGATAAAAAAAGAAAGAGAAACCCACTCTTCTTTTGAAAACAAAATGAATGAAATAAAGAAGTGGATGCGTTGATTTAAAAAGAACATCATTACCCTAAACCGCATACGGTCCTGATATATTAGTGAAACATCCTTTCACATGAATTTAATGGGTATTTTCTCGAAAATGATAGATGCTATAATGCCAAACTGACTCAAGATTAGTGTTCAAAGGGTCCGAATTTATGGGGGTACTGTTATTATGGTATACATCTAATTCCTAATCATATCTGCAAATAACCCACTTTTTCAGAATTTGGGGGAGGGGGCATTTTCTTGAAAATGGTAGGTGCTATGGTCAAATTGACATCAGATTCGTGTTCAGTGACAATATAAAAATAATAGGGTCTGATAAAAAACAGACCACTTCTTTTGTTTTACATACCTGTGTTGTTATTGCTTAAACAATTTGCAGAAATGTTTGCAGTAACAAAACTATATTTTAAAATTTATAGGAGTCTATTTTGAAGTGTGCAAATTGGGACGAAAAACTGAACCTAGCTTTAGAATTAATTAAACACAACACCCTTCATGACGGAGACTACCAGAGACTAATTGCCAATGGAATTTACAGAAGATCAAAAGCTATGAACACGTACACTCCCTCCTATAGCAAACTGAAAGCGAACATAATACTAATCAAACCAAATCAAGCTAGTGTGGCGAATCTTCCCGAAGATTATGGATTATCAAAATATTTTGAAAAGTCTGTGGAAGTCTATGTATTTGAGGGAAACCACGTCACTATCTTGGAGAATAAAGCGGTCGCAGAACTGATAAATTCGTGTCTATAGAAAAGTTACTGTTACAGCTGTGTATACAATAAATATTTTGATTAATAATAAAATTACATAAATAAGTAGAATAGTAATTTCAACCTACAGACAACTTTAATAAACAAGTCAAATTTGAGGGGGCCCAGCCAAGATGGCATACATTTTCTGAATATTACATAAATGTATGGACAAACTAAAAATTGTTGGGATGGTAGAGAAAAGTGCAATTTAATTAATTTCAAAAAAAGTACAGTGCTTAAAAAAAATTGCAGTCTGCCTCGCATACAAACAAGTGCGATTTACATGACATACTGTTTGTAAAAAATCTACAAGTGTTAATAAAGAAATAAAATTTTAAATGCTTTTAATATTATATTCAAGTCAAAAAGTATTTGTATATAAAAATCTATTATTTAATTCCTCTTGGTTCGTTGGTTTTGTGGTCATGATAAAGAAATGACAATTTCATTGAGACTTTTGTACCAAACCAATCATAATAATAGTGGCGTCCGCCGNCGTTGAGAAATGAGGTTAAGTTGGTCGCTATAAGCTACTCCCTACGTCCAATGTGTCAGAGCCAACTTCGACCACGTTTTTATTTGAACGCTCGTTATATTTCAGAAACTAAAATTAAAAAACATATAACCCCCTAGATTTGATGTGTTACTCTAGTCCACGATTTTTTAACCACAATCAATAAAATAAATAAAAAATTTCACTATCTTCTATCCGTATTCTTTTTCCAAAACTGTCAAATGTCAAAAATATACCGATATGTCCAGCAGATTTTCGTTACCGTTTGGTAACTCTACCGGTAACTGTTTTGTCTGCCAAATGCGCCCATTCTTTCGTTTACATTTACATACAATTAGTTATCGAGTTTAAAAAGATCGTTTTTGAGTACATAAGGATGTTCTACGAGTAACGGTACATAATTCAGTGGGAGATGGAACATGTCGAGCTGATTCTAAAATACTCTCATATTATGTATCCCCTGAAGTCGTTTGATACTGATATGCAGAACATTCTCTAATTTTTGCCAATTCTGTTCTCATATTTTTGTACCCGTTCGATCAAACGAGATAAAATTTGGTACAATTAGTACACATATCTGTGATAATAAAGTGTACACACAAGTCTGTTAATTGTTTTTTAACAGACGATAGAATACATTAAAATAAACAAAAAGTTCGATTAATTAAGGAATATTGTCAAAACTGCGTGCATGCAATACCATAAAATACAATGTTTATCACTTTTTTGAACTTCTTTATGCTTAATTATAAAAAAATAATTAGCGTTGTAATAAATTTACAATTCGATAAAATTCATATCGAGCAATATTAGCAACGGCGCGGCGGTTTATTAACACGAGGTAGTAAGGAATTATCTGGATTCGAGTGTTGGAGTGTTTTTTGCGTACCACTATTTCCTTTTCTTGAGGTGTTTTCCAGCGAGTGCGCGAAAATTGAATTCGAAGGTGTCGTACGTCGTACATCGAAAATGGTGGTGGTGGACATTTTGAGCATATGTTGTCATTTGTTTTGTACTTGTGCATTTAAAAATTACTGAATTTTGCTTTTTGGTAAGTACCTAAATTATTTTTAATACCTATGATTATTTGCACGACGTGAATCTTTGAGTACTTTAATTACATATTTTTCAAATACATAATTTGATTAAAAGTTAAATTCCTGTTTCAAGAGATTCATAATTACTAAAATTCGAGCTAAAATTTAAGCACAACACTATCTTCGTACTACAAAATCGATACATTTTATTTTATTTATTTATTTAGAAACTGGAAAACAATTGTCTTATAATTTGCTAAATGTTTCACAATAATAGTTGCTTACATTTTTTCCGTAGGACAAGGCGTGCACACGTGGTGCGCATCGGCTATGTAGCGCTGTTGTTACGTTGTGATAAAACTCCCCAATCTTAATACTCGCTGTATTTTGGAAACTGTTAATCTTACGCCCCTGTAATATACAACTTTTTTGTTCATTTATGATTACTCTATCTCGTGCTGAAGTAATTGCAGTCAAACTTCTTACACCCTGTATACTTAAAAAAAACATAAAAACATAAAACACACCAGACAAATGAGACAACTCCCAAATCCAAAGCTAAAGGCTGTGCGGAAGGGGGCTACACTTGAAAAAACGCGGACAAACACCCATTATCCATCGACATTGCCAGTGCCGACGCCAGGGATCGAACCGGGACCAGAATAGGAAGTCTGGCCGAGAAATGCTTGCCATCGCATGCTCGACCGACTAGGCTACCGTGGTGATCACTTTACCGTATAACATACAATATTCGATCCTCTCATTCTCGCTCTTATACTTTATTATATTTACCTACACATAGCAATGTAATGTAATATTCATCAATTTGTACTATGTATTTAAATCATACAGAATCACTCTTTGATTCATTTAGCAGTAGTGTTTGTAATAAGTCTAGTGCTTTAAAAAGTTAAATGAATCTATTTCAGATATAGGCAATCCTTCTTTTATGTATTTTTTTAAATGTCCTGCCCTATAACTGCAATTGTCTATCAGGATAGTGATTTTAAATAAATAAATAATTAATAATTTTAGTAATATCTCATTGCTAATAGAATTTATGTCTCTAGGCATAACCGATACCAAATTGGTAAGCTCACATTCAACTTTGGCTGAACTGGGTATGGACTCAATGACAGCTGTCCAAATTAAGCAAATGTTAGAGAGAGATTTTGAAGTGTCCCTTTCTGCGAAAGACATCAGGAGTATAACGTTATCAAAGTAAACATTTCATGTCATATTTTTTATTACTTTTGTTCTTACTATTCGTATTTTGTTTCATAGATTAAGAGATATTCAAGATGAAAAGGTAGTGAAAGATATCAAAGAAACCAACTCGTATGTTGGAATTGATATACTATTTAGAATGCTGGGTGATACAACTTATAACTCTTTGCGTTATTTGGAGCTGGAATCGAACGTTCCACAAAATTCTGAGTCTCCCACGTTAATACTATTTCCAGGAATAGAAGGAGCGCCCAGTGTATTTCAAAATTTCGCAAAATACCTTAACGCCCACGCTGTTGGCCTAAATTTAAACTTAGATGTCAGTGACAAAAGTATTACCGAATTGGTGCAATCTCTATTACCTGTAAGTCTAAACATTTTTAGTGTAATTAAAAGTAACGCTGGATTTTTTAGACCGTGCAAAGATACTTCCCTGATAAGACATTCACTCTGTTGGGCTATTCTTTTGGTACAGTAATGGCAATAGAAATGGCCTACTCTTTGGAATCTTTGGGATACAATGGCACGTTAGTATGTATTGATGGATCGCCGTTGTTCTTAAAACAGATGATAATTAATTTTGGCATGAAACAGGAGAGGGACTATGAAATAGCTGTGATATTCCACATGCTTTCTTTCTATATCTCTTCGGGAGTAATTGAAAAACATAAGGTAACTGTAACATGCATATACAGCGTGTCCTATTAGTGCGGGAAAGTCCAATATCTATGTTAAAATGAGGAATATATGGATTTTTCTTTTTACTGTGTTGCCACATTTCTCAGAATGTACAAAATTAAAAATATGATCAACTATACAGGGTGTTCCACTTTTCCTGGACAGACACCAACTTTGGTTATTTAAATGGAAACACACATTTTTTATATTTTTTTCGGATTCTACATCAAAAATAAAGGGTACTTTGTGTAGAATAGTTCTATTCAAATATTCACAGTTTTTGAGATATCTCGCTTGANAAAAAACTTAATTTTTATTATTTTATAGAATACCACAAATAAATATTAACTAATAAAATTTACTCAATACGGAATGATAAATATGAACTGACAAGTTGACACAATGTGACAGTTTTTTCCAAAGCCATTTCGTGCGACCGAAAATATTAAAAATTAGGTTTTTCCAGAAATGTTGCTATATCTTAAAAACTCACAACTTAAGGTATAGAACATACTTAATAAAAGTTGACTGATATGTGAATAAAATAAAACAATAAAATACAGGGTGTTCTATTTGAAAAATTTTAGAAAATCAAGTTTGAACTTTCTAAAAATGATCGTATTATAAAAAATGCCCTGTAAAAATATCGATATTAGCTAATATAGGAGTCTTTGTCTAACATTTGCCTATAACTCTATCAAATATTTTTGCTCCAGGTGTTATTAGTTGAAAGTTGATGCAACTTCTTCGAGGTCATATTTTTTCCAAAATTCGAAGAATTTTCTACACAACTTGGCAACCCCGCACTAAAATGTTAAACTGTTTATATTGCCATATATAGAATTTATTCAGAAATTTATATGTTCAAAAATATACAGGGTGTTCCATTTAGAAAATGTAATATTTGGCGTGTCCCGTTTTTACTCATCAACCTGTATGTATCAAATTAATTTTGCCCTATAGGTTTTTTTATTCTGTACAACTTTTATATAAACGTTTTCCTGTATTACGAGTAACAAGGGAGTTATTTTACTTTCTCACACTAATGGCCAGTCTTGTATAATGTAAAACTGTCTTATATATGATAAGAAAAATGTATAAAAAATTGACTCAATAATTGCAGCCACTGTTTATAGAAAATATTAACTACAATTACTGTCCTTACGATATTTTTTAAGATAGAATTCCAAGAAGACCCCTGCATCACTTTGGTGGAATTAATCACCTTGGGTACTCGAGGTAGACAAGACATTGCCGGAAAATTTCAAGGCACGCCCACACTGCGGCAAACTGTAACAGTAGTTCCGACAAGAGAACTTTATTTGCTTATTCTTTTCCTCGAATTGTATCTCAACAAATATCGTACGGACTGTATATTACACTATACCACCCGGTGTAAATAAGAGAAGTGCCAGGGTGACACTCGGAGCATCGAAACTTGAGAGAGAGAGAGAGAGAGAATACTATACCACAGAAATTCCTAAATTTATTAGTTTATTTATTTTGCTCTTTTGGGTGAGATGTTAACAAATAGTGAGATATATAATAGTGATATGTAAATTTACATACAGCTATTGAGAGCCGAAGGTACTTACATTTTAAATCAAAGAAAGTAAATCAAAATTAGAACAGTGTTACAGAAACTTCCCAGGACTTAATGGGTTGAAATCTGTATCTCTGTGAGTAGTGTATAAATGGCAGAGCTGAGCGGAGCATGTGCAATGTGCAGACCTTGACCCCAGACGACCGTAGGTCATTGACCTTGCCCCCAGACGACCAGAGGTCGATGACCTTGAGGTGACCCTGACCCCAGACGACCAGAGGTCGATGACCTTAAGTAGACCTTGACCCCAGACGACCGTAGGTCATTGACCTTGCCCCCAGACGACCAGAGGTCGATGACCTTGAGGTGACCTCGACCCCAGACGACCAGAGGTCGATGACCTTGAGATGACCTTGACTCCAGACGACCAGAGGTCGATGAACTTCACATGACCTTGAGGTGGCCTTGACCCCAGACGACCAGAGGTCGATGACCTTGAGGTGACATTGACCCCGGACGACCAGAGGTCGATGACCTTGAGGTGACCTTGAGGTGACCTTGACCCAAGACGACCAGAGGTCGATGACCTTGACGTGACCTTGAGGTGACCTTGGCCCCAGACGACCAGAGGTCGATGGCCTTCGCATGACCTTGAGGTGACCTTGACCCCAGACGACCGTAGGACAATGACCTTGACTTGACCTTGAGGTGACCTTCGCCCTAGACGACCAGAGGTCGATGAGTGTTAAAAATAGAATATTACATCATATCTAAAAATAACACCATATGGTTGCCAGATGTCATNAGTATTTGACCATCCCCCTAATTAATGAGGTTTTCTCACTACCAACATTATTATATTTTAGATAGGCTGATTCATCCCTGTATCGTGAAAACAGTCTATTTGTTTATATAATATTTTTGTGTGATATCACTCAAAGAATCAACCTCAAAGCTCAAAGTTTGCCGATGTACTTAATTAACACCTTGTATAGCTATGTTCTCATTTACAACAGTCGAAAAATATATTTTGATAAGATTGTAATTATAATATAATTTAAAACAAAATAATTATACAGCTCAGGTTAGAACGAATAACTTCTCAATTTTTGTGCGAAAAAAAATGGCGGCAAAATCAGAAAACTCAATCACATACAATAAAGCTTATAGCCTTAGACCGCGCTTTAAATGCTGGAAATTGGCAACCTAAAAAGGATGCAGGGTCCGGCATCCATCAATAAAATTTAGCGTGGTAACTCTTCCACCCAGGACGAAATGTTTGATAATTCTGAATTTGTTTTTAAAGCAATAAGTAGTTAATTAAAGCATATTTTCAACTATATCGTCACAATTACTTGCATGTTGAAAATTTGTAAAAATTGCAGGTATTTTAATGTTATTTCGTTTTTAGGTATTCTCCTTATGTTGTTGTGAAAGTTAATTATAAAAATCGTTGTTTGTTATTTCAATAAGGATGAATTTTAATTTTTTTAATGATTTTTTTACTTTAAACATACAGTGCTATCCAAAAAGTTTGCACCATATGGGAAAAAACTTTATGTATTAATTTAATAAATTCCTTCGATTGTCAGTTGTCTCTGCATGTCGTCAAATCAAAATAGCGCCCATCGAACCTCATAAAACATTTGTTATACAGGGTAATTCAGTCATAATGTCATTCATTTTAAGAGCAGATAGAGAAAAAAGAGTATAATACGATGGCGTGATTAAAAAAAATAAATGCATATTTAAGCAGAAAAAAATATTTTCAAACCATTATTTAACCCCCTTTTCCTGCTGTTACTGACCGGCTGACGTCAGTCAGTTATTCAGAATTTGCGCACGGCTACGATATGAACAACGCGCCCTAGATGCAGCGTTGCCATATTTATATATTTTCGCTCATATAAAGACAATACATAAACGGTTTGCTCACGTCAGCCAATAATAATTTAAAATGCTATAAATTATTTTTTATAATTATGCAATCAACATATTAAATTGTTATTGTTGCCCAGCAAGAACCTCGGGGAAATCTGAGCATGCCTTGTCAAAAATCAGTTTTTATTAACATCGTAGTGATAATTTTTTAATTTGCTGTAAAGCCTTCTACTAAAAATTGAAAGTAACGCGGCCCATTCAGATGTTCAGGTAGAAAATGCGGCCTAATTAAACGATCGCCATATACTCCTGCCCATACATTGACACCGAATCTCCTCTGAAACCTAAACCGACGAGTAGTGTGCGGGTTTTCATGTGAACAAATGTGGCTATTATGGCTGCAAAGAAATTAGCTCTGTTTCACTTTAAATAAAATTTAATATTGAAGTTACAAAACTCCAAGAGTTCAAATAATTTAAATTTCATTTCATAACCATTTGAATTACATTTTATCACAGAAATAATGACATAAAAAACCAACACTCACTAGATAAATTATAAAGAGAGGGTGAAATGTATGTAGTATTTAAATATTGACTGTAAGTAATAGAAGATAAAAATACAATCGGACGGAGACAAATAAACAACTCGGTACGTGTTTCCGACCTAGGCTAACCTGTGTCGAGGTCACTAACCTTCTAATTTGCACGTGCACTTTAGTCTAGGAGCCAGACAGGGTTCCGTTGCCAACCAGAGTGCCACGGCTGCAAACAACTTATTCTAAAGTATTTTGACCTCCTGAATCCAAAAAACTTGGTCGCAAAGCCTGAAAGTGGTCAGTTTAATTGTTATCAACAAATTAAATGTTTAAATGGCTGTAAAAAGTTTATTTTTATAGCTAGTACAATTTATTCGCTAATAGTTACGTTTTCTCATAACAAATATGTATTTTTTTGAAAATTAAAAAAAATTAACTTTAACCAAAGTTATTGCAAATTTAGTGCAAATTTCTTACATTTTCCGTCTCCGTGCGCACTAATTTTACCATATCTGGTTCTAAGTTCCATTTATTTATTAATTTATTTAATAATTAATGGCATCTTAGAAAGTTGTGAAATTTCAACGAAAATGCCGGTTTTAATTGTTTATAAGGTTTTTTTTATTATTCAACTTCGACGAAAAGCCAAAAAAGTTACCGGATATTGTTCTTTGCATTCTAACAATCAAGCAAGGCATGAAATCATTGTTAGGATGCGAGGAACAATAACCGGTAACTTTTTTGGCTTTTCATAAAAATTGAATAACAAAAAAAGTTTTATAAACCAATAAAGCCAACATTTTCGTTGAAATTCCACAACTTTCTAAGCTGCCATTAATTTTTAAATAAATTAATTAATCAATGGAACTTACCTATCTTGTAAAATAAAGTTTAAGTTTTAAAATGAGATGTGCGTCTCAATCCGTCCAATTGAACCAGAGATATGGTAAAATTGGTGCGCGCAGAGACGGAAAATGTAATATATTTGCACTAAATTTGCAATAACTTTGGTTAAAGTTAATCTTTTTTTAA